TCTTATTGGTCTCATGGGGTGGCTTATATTTGCAATGTTTATATTTAAATAATTTTAATTGATATCATAAAAAAAAATTCAAAAGAAGCTAGATTTTATGTGTTTCTAAGCCATCTAAACATCTTCATTCACAATATTCTCAACTTAAAGTTGTTGCTTCAATCTCAATAACTGAGAAGCTCCTAATTTACACTCTAACTATATAACGACACTCATTTTTGTCGAAATCTATTTATTTATCCATTAAAGTTCTTGAAAAAGTTTTACTAGATATTGTGGTTATTCGCCTTTACTACAACCTACGCGGTTTTAGCTTTTAGTAAGTTATTTTTTTGCTAATTTATGTGAAGACATGAAATCTCACAAAATAGTAATATAGTCAAGTTATTGTTGAGCATCTTCATTATAAAAGTTGCTAATTTAAGGCTAATCTAAATATATTTCTGAGGTTCTGAGAAATAGAAAAGATTGGTGACTAATTGATATTAAAGAAATTAAAGTAATTTAACCTTTTGCCTAGTCAATTGAAAGTCGAAGCTTCATTAATGCACTTATAGAACTGCCAACTTATATCGTGGCTTGTCTTCATTCAATCAGCGCAATAATCTCACTTGTAGAATCAACTCCGTCAATTCAAAACTCATTCAATCTCAAATTACAGAAAAATCCTTAAACAAGATCAATAATTTTAATCCAAGGATTCATGTTAATTGCCATATCGTTTTACAAATTGGATTAATATTCTCACATAAGGCGATAATCTGTTGAGAATTAATAACTCTAAAAAAACTTAAGCATAAGTTAATTAATAATTCCATAGAATAAATTAATTTAAAGCTAATTTATTAATTATGAACTTACCTGTGATTTGAGAATAAGTGTTGATTATGAATGAACTTGCGTGTTTTAATTGATTTAATGATGAAGAAGATGCTAATGATGACTTTATGACATGAGTTGTGAGATTAAAAATTAAATGGCGTAACAACACGGAAATTTGTCTTTTTCACAGGCATAAAAGATGAAGCTCTTAGTTTGGCAAAAAATCTTTTAACATTTCTTGAATTGAGCTAAATAATTAATTGATTCTCGTTATTAATGAAGATTTTTAACAATAAATTGATTTTTGAATACACAATTACATGCACGGAGCTTCAATACATCAAAACTATGCCAAAATCATATGAACAAAGATGTTGTACAAGGAATGTCATTCAGCTATTTATACAGCTTGTATCATCAATAATCTGATTAAATCATTATCAATAGAATTTAATTTAAACTAGATTATCTCATCAAAACCAGTCATCCTCCATTTTTGGATAAAAACAATAAAAATTATTCAAATAAGCCGATTATGTTTTGCAAAAGAATTAAGTTTTTGCTTAGATTTAATTTTTTGATAGCATTTTCATTGTCATCAAGCTAGTAACTAGCTTCTCCTTGCACTTAACAATTATTTAATGCTGCTCAATTGTATTTTCGGAACTAAATAAACAACATCGTCGATGAATATTGCGACAATAGGATTTCAATAAGTTTCAACATCTTTACCGCATCTTCGCAGTTACAAAGCGCCAAGGACAACTATCGATAGTCAATAGCTGACCTGTTTGAATGACCAGTTGTATTCATTTTTTACGCCGAGTTATGCTAGACTTAACGACGTAAAAATTAAAAATAAAATTAACGATTATATTTTGAGATCTTTTGAGTTTTAAAAGTCATAAAATGTTGTCGTTTGTTTGTCTGGCTGTCTGCTTGACAACAAGGCATCTAATGTGAACGATTCATTATAAAGATGCGCTTTTGTTGTCACCAAGTCATCGCTCAAATTAGTTTTTATAGTTTTAAATATAACAAGCTTGTCGCTCCTTTAATCTGTTGTGTTTCAATGCAAATTTGATTGATAGAAGACGATTTTTCAGATGTGTAAGGGCTAGGTGTTGTCATCTGATCTTTCAATGGATGTGAAACTTCCTAAATTAGACTGTATGGCGATTAAAATTTTTATAGGCCAGCCAGCAACTTTATGATATCACAAATTGAGTGTTTTTTTTTTATTGAACCATTGACTAGCTTCACTCCTAAGTTCTTCCTGATTCTCGTGATTTCTTCATCATGTGATGAATTTTTGAAACTTGCATGATTACTAATTGAGATTCTAAAGAATTAATTACGATTGTTTTGCGCTCAAATGTGGGCTTCTTCTTTTCATTAAAATTTGTCAAGTTTCATCGACTCATTTTGTTGCGCCTTGATAAATTAATATATTTTTTGTATGACACAAATGAATAATATTAAATTTATTTATTACGCCTCGACAAAGCTGTTTTTTTCGCAAACTATTGTGAAATCTGGTTTTTGAAATGTTAGTTTTTGATAGACATATGTGAACTCTATCGGCCTGTTTCACTAAAGTGGATTATCCTCGATTTCGGATTATCCATTTCAGTTTTTTGCAAATATCTTAAACTTTATGGGAGGTGTGGTATTTCTAATTTTGGATTATAATAGAGTGAACTATGCCTGAAATTTCTGTACACTTTAAACTTTTGCTTTTTGTTAAGAAGTATTAATTATTCAATTTTCTAGCCAAATCTAGTAGATTAACTTAGATTTTTGCTATAATTCTCAAACTAATGAAGATATAAAAATTCTAAGTATATGTTAATTTAAGTAGTAGAGTACGCTAACAAGATCACACATTAGATCTCTTAAAAATCTTAAGTGTCTGGAGATATTTCCAAAAAAATTAAGTGGATAATCCGAAATCGAGGATAATCCACTTTAGTGAAACAGGCCGTATGTGATTTTTTTTATTGATAGTTTTTTTTAATTTTTAAATTTGTTATTTAAATTGTCTTTTTTAAAAAAAAATCTATTAATGATTAGAAAATGGCAAATTAATTTATGATCTTTGGTTTTTTGTTTGGAGAGAAGTTCATAGATCAGAAAAGCGGTTTTTGGTGCTTGTATAAAGGTTTTGGGGGTTTAATGGCAACGTTTTGAAGATTTGCTATTCAAAGCTGAATGCTTAGGTCTTAAAGTTGTCAGGGAAAGGAAGAAAGAGGTCCATTATTTTAATCTTTTAACCAACTCAAACAAATTAAGATCTTCTTCAAAAGAAAGATCATGCAAATAATTCAAAAAAAAATCCTATCAATTCAAGCATCTTTTGCTCGCAAATCATCAGCGTTAAAAGCTAACAAACCCATTAATCATTCCAACCAAAAGCTGTTGAAACTCATCTTAACTTTATCTAATTTTCTTCGATCGAATTTCAACACAATTAACACCAAACAATTAGCATAAATAAATATTCATTAATTAATTTTTAAAAGTTATATTAGCATGTTTCAATGCAATTTATGCAACTGCAAAAAGTCAATATTAGATTACCAAATGCTATCCTAAATGGCAAAAGCTGTTTGGTCACTTTCATTGATATATTTTAAAAAAGAATTGTTCAATGCAAAACTGTCAAATTTTCTTTCAAGGACTTAAAAAACTTGACCAGCCACAAGTTCGGCAACTGACTAATGCTAATATCTTACACGTACAGCATTGTTAAATAAACAAACTTAATCTTCCTCGTATATTTAATTGCCATATCACGCACATTCTATTTCCATGCGCACGACGTTTATTCAAGAATGAATGTCCAAAATATTTGCTAGTCTAAAACTTCACCACATAAAATAAGAGTCTTCGCCTTCATATTAGCATTGAAGCTGTAAATTTTTGAAAAATCAAATATTTTTATATCGCATACTTATTTATCAATACATTTCACGGGTAAGATAGTAAATGTGACGGATAGATAGATATCAATGTTAAACATAGTCAATAACCGGATTCACATACATATGCATAAACGCCTGGCCTGTCAAATTATTTTTTTAAAAAAGTAATATTTTAAACACCAAAAAAAAGACGGAGGAGAAGAGATGTCAACATGAGTTTCGTCTCATTGCATAATTGAGTTGGCAAACTATGCTTACTTACATATTCATTAACTGTCGTTGGCTCAAAAAAGAGCTCTGAGTCCAAAATGAGAAGATGAAGAAAATACAAGATTTTTTATATGTTGGAAAGCTTTTAATTTTTTTTTTTTTTTTGATTGTTACTTACTTTGCCGCGACTTGTCAGTGGCTTAAGATATAAAAATAAGTTGAAGTGTTGCTTGGTGTAAGGGAGTTGGCGGTTTTTAATATTTTATTCGGATAAAAATGATGGAATCATCTTGGGTTTATATATTTTGAGGATTTAAAAAGATTAAGGGGTGGTTCAACTTGAAAATTTGTTGAAATTTGGCTCTCTTAGTTTGAGTATACATCTAAAAATGATATTAGCCTAAATCTGCATTCCCTAAATGCGGAAAAATTATGTTCCTCCTTAATTCTCTATTTGGTAGACTAAAAGAACCAACCATTGTAAGATCTTCATGTCAAATGACTGCTCTGGTTCAAATTTTCATTTATCCTAACCTTAAACCATCTAAGATTCCTAAATGTCTCTCTTAAACATTAGCATTAGTCATTATTTAACCCAAACTGCTCAAAAACCACCCAATTCCCTTCAAATTCCAGCTCGACTGTCCATCAAACTATGAACGACAGCTACAGAGAAAGCTCAATGCTCTCTGTGGACAGTCAATTATGTAATTGTTATCATCATAATGAACAAAAGAAAATTAACATTGTGACACCTGTGATAGAGTTTATGCGGTAGTAAAAGAAATCACTGTAAATTGAGATAAAGATGTATTTTGAAGGTCTGCTGCATAAAATTGAACATAAAGCATAGCTTAGCATATTAATGATTATGTTTTGTTTCCACTTGACTTGATTTGATTACAATGAAGCATAATGATAATCATGTTAAATTGATTATTTATGAAGTGTAAAGAATTGTGCAATTTTGAATGGTTTTTCATCGTCTATAGCTTATTTATGACTCTTGATATTTATGACATAATTTTTCTTTATATTTTTCAGGTCTTGAATGATTTAGTACAAGGGGAATTCATGCAACTGGGTGCAAAGGAGACAGAAAATGAACGCTTTTCGCACTATTTCACAAAGACCTTCCGAAAAACAGCATCACTGATTGCAAATGCATGCAAGGGTGTAAGTATTTATGTGGTCTAGGAGTTGCTGAATGCTAAAAACTTCTTTTAGACCTTCCATTATTCCAATGAGACCCACATTAACTAATCACATCCATTTATTTCTTTCTATTTGACTTCCAGTCTGCCACAATCGCCGGAGCTGATCCACAGATTGTCGAGACTGCATTCCAGTACGGTAAAAATCTCGGTTTGGCCTTCCAGTTTGTTGATGATCTTTTGGATTTTGTGTCATCGTCCGAGACTATGGGTAAACCAACAGCAGCAGATTTAAAACTCGGTCTTGCTACTGCACCTGTTCTTTTTGCCTGCGAAAAGGTAAGAATTCAACTAATAACTAGCTATTAACGCGATATACTTCCGAATCGATATAAAAAGACAGATAGGCATGATCGTAATGGTTGAGTGCCTATAAAGCATATTATATGCTTTAATTTGATGATTATGGTGATGAAAAATGAGGCTACCATTCGGTCAATGTCTATGCTGTCGAAGTGCGTTTCACATTGACCAAATTTTTTTATGACTATTATTTGCTATTGTGATCAATGAACTTGGCTCAAGACACTGTTGACTTTATTTTTACAATTTTTTTCATTTTTGTGAATGGTAAAACAGACATAACTTATGGGAATGAAATTTATTTATGACAAGTGATGATGATTATTGTGTCTGATTGATTGTGCGGTTTGTTGTAGATATTTTATAGACAAGATGGAGACATTGGACTGTTTTGATGATGGGAAGGAATTTGCATTAATTTTGGGTTGTGGAATTTGATATCTATGCTTGAAGACCAAACCCTCAACTTAGAATAAGAGGCTCTAATACTGAAAGATGCTGTAAAGGAACCTATACAGACCTTACTTAAGCACTGTCCCTTCTTGCCTCTAATTGGCGTGTTTAAAAGCATATTAATTAACCAGCACAAACCAACAATTTTCTTTGTGTGGAAAAATCATGGACGGATATTACCCAAATTAAATTCTTTACCTCAATCACTTCCGTCCTTTAAATCAACAATAATGAAATCTTTTTCGTTAATTGACGTTCATCATATAAATACCGTTTATGCTGGTCTTCACTTTAATTGAATTGCATGTCAAGATAGTTCATGGCTAGGTTTAGACAATGAGCAATCATGTGATGATTAAAGATTCTTAGCTGTCGTGTTAAATTTTACCCAATTATGTTTACGGTCAAGCTTATTTTTCCACACACATTTTAATATTTTTAATGTAACAAACTTGTGTGGAAATAAAGATGCAAAATTTGACATAAATGTGGAATTTTTACAATGACTAAGAGGAACTGGATGTTTTGATAACTTAATATTGTGAAAGAGAATGACATTGAGGAAGCCAAGAACGTAAAAGCTTGAAATTGATTATTTATTGCCCAATAAAGCTTCCTTGTTTCTGCTATTTTAATATTGAACCAGTGACTTGAATGAAAGGAATTGCATGGAAACTTTTTTTTTATTCTGGCAATAAAATCGCTCATTCATAAATCACAGTGCAGTCTTACTGAAGATTTTATACAAGATAGGCTTTGTTATGAGAAAATTAAGCCACACGATTCCATTGTTCTGCTTTATTGCAAAAATTACAATATTTCACAAAGTAGAGAAACCAAGGAAAATGTCATTGATCAGTTCAGGTATCAGATTGTCTTCAGAACCAACTTCTACGAGATAGTTTTATCAAGATTCCTAAAATGAGGCATATTTATCGGGATAATGTCATTGAATCTATGTCAAAACTACTAAAATGGACACATCCTTCATTACTCACCATGAGGCCATTAAACTTAATTATCAATTCACTCAAAACTACCTGAATCACATCAATTCGACATTAAAACTCCTTGATTGCGAAAAGTATGCCAACAGCCCCATTCCAAAGCTTTTAATCATCCAAAACATTCCACATGCAAATTCAATATCCAATGATGACTTTTTCATTTCAAAATGATCCATTTTTGTCCATATCGACCTTAGACAGTTAGTCACGTGCCTCTTCAATCTAAATTATTCAGGCCCATATAAAAAAAAATCGAAAGCTTGATTATTTTTGCAATACTTGAATTTCGCATGACGAAATGATTAGATGAATCAGCAATTGTTGATTTTGTAAATCTAATGAAGAAGTTTTGATCCGCACAAATATTAAATCCTTGATCACGATTATATCTATTGTTGAAATGAGTAGTTATTTTGACGAACAGTTCTTTTGTGAATTTGTGCGTCACTCGAGACAATAAGAAAATTGCGAATTTCCAAATTCTCATGTGATTGCAGATACAATGCCTACAGAATTGAATGGAGGGTAAATCTATGGACAGGAAGATGTGTATCTAAAAGTTGAGGACCATTTTCTGGGACATCTCTGATCAGATGCTTTAAAGAGTTCCAGAAACTAGAAGTCTTGTAAAAACAAACAAAATGACACTTTTTCAATAGTGAGCTCGAACCTCCTCGCAAATAGTCTTCCACATTACTAAGCCCATTGATCATACATAAAACATAGCCAAAACGTTTTAATCTATAATTTTTTTTTTTCAAATATTCAAAAACTATTTTACACGTGATGTAAAATTAAAGTTAATTAACAAACAAACTTTTTCTGCACGTCGAACATTCAATCAACATTTGACATCACTCAACCATACTTTTTGCGAAACTCATCTGCTAAATGCCAATTATTCATTCCTTGTAAGAAGAATCATTGTATTATCATCAACGAAGGTGCCTAAGATGCTAATAGAGTTCTTAGCGTATTTTCCGGACGAGATACTTGACCACACGAGTCGGCACTTTTTATTATTTATTCTCATTCACAATTTGATGCTTAAAGGCATTTGAAAAAAAATGTATTTTGCTAATTTTAATTTCTCCTTTATTTTTTTTATTTCAGTATCCCGAGTTAAATCCCATGATAATGAGACGTTTTAAAGAGCCTGGTGATGTTGAGAAGGCATTTGAGCTTGTACATAAATCACAGGGACTGGAACAGACACGCTTTTTGGCCCGTAAACATTGCCTCGAAGCCATTAAATTAGCAAACAAGTTAGCTGAATCACCATACCAAAAGGGCCTTGTCGACATTATGGATTTGGTACTGAATCGAATGAAATAAGACCTTTGATTTTTTTTCTGTTACTGTTAATTTTTTTTTTATTATTTTCTAATTGAAAAGAACCTTTTTTTTTGTTTGAGAGAAAAGAGAAATATGAAAAAATATAAAAATTGTACGTTTATACAAGTGTGCCTGTGTGTATGTGTGTGCATGTAAAATAATTCTTTCTTTAATATTAAATCATGCTAAAGACATTTTGAAATGACAGTTGAAAGTTTTGTTTGAATTCGATCTATTTACAAAATCATAGAAGCATTCGACACTCAAATGTCCATAACATGATATAAATAAGGATTAAAACGTATCATAAAAAGAGGAAACAAATCAAATGTTTTTAAAAAGTTATGATTATGATGGTTTTTATAGAAAAAATATGATATACATAAAAAAATTATAACAATATACAACATGTGTGCAAAAAGGACCAGAAATAAGAGAAGGGAAAAAGTTTCTTGTCAAGCTACGAAAAAAAATTATTTATTTATCCACTGGACGAGGTTTGCGTTCTTTATTGAGTAAGTTTGAGTTTTATTATCGCATTATGAGTCTCCTATGAGATACTCACCACTATACTACCGAGGATTTTTTGTTTTGACTGGATTCAGGTTATTCTGAAGTCTATAGTTGTTCAAAAGTGAAAGTTGCTTCCCTGTCCACGCCAATTTTTTTTTTGGATGGTACATCTATAAGCGTTTGACATCATTTATGAGCTGTAACGATCTAAAGAGTTAAAAATTTCCTCCCTAACCTCAAATAAACTAATGCAAATGGTGATAAAGCTTAAATAGCTAAGAATTGTACTACTGATAAAGAACTTTTATAGAACCTAAAATCGTGGTCCAGATTGTGTAAAAAAATTTCATCCTTCCCTTTTTTACCTCCAATAATCCTTGAATAACTTTTTCTCCCAAATTGTAATTCCAATATCAATAATTATTATTATTAATATTATTATTATATTATTAAAAAAAATTTAATATAATTCACTTTCTATTATTATTATTGATTATTGAGTATATTATGAATAATTAAATAACTATATCGGTTTATTCCCTTTTTGACATGACGGAAATGATATGATAAATGGAAACGAAAATGAGATAAAATCAAATAAAGAACAATAAATTGAAGAAAAGAGAAATAATTTGTATAGTAAGCTGCAATATTGTTGTTTAACAGTTAAAAAATTGAATAAATGAAATAAATTTAAAAAAAATTTGTTCATTTTTTAAAAGTTTCAAATTTAAAAATTATGAAATATGTAGCAAAAAAACAAGAATTCTTTTAAGTTATTTTATCTCTCCTGTAAATTCTCTTTTATATGTGTAATCTTATACAATTCATAACAAATGAATGAATTAAGACAGTCGTATTTCAATAATTATTCAAATATATTTTATGAACGGAATTAAACAAATTTAAAAATCATAACTGCCTTTAGATAATTATTGAATGCATATTGAATACTCATCTCAGTAAATAATATAATCAAGGAAGTCATATGTTGCGGAAAATAAAATACATACACACACGAGCACATCTTGGTATATATATGTTTAAATAGCTTTGATTTATTAATTTTAAACAATGATTTTGTGTGTTTTTCTATTTTATTATCCATATTTCTTTCGAAGTAAATACTTAACAAGTGCTGAAGCATATTTGAACATCTCGTAAAAATTAATTTCGTAAAATATTTCATCACATTTCAAAATTTCGAGGACATGTAGTTATCGATAAAATTATGTTTAAATGCACAAATAATTTTACAACTTTTGTTTGTCTTATGAGATATTCACCACTCGACTACCGAGGAAATATATAATCAAATAAATAGCATTGTTGATGCTAGTTTTGTTCAGAAAATAAGAATTGTGTTGGTCTGATAATCCTTTTCTACTAACACAGATCTAGAGCTAAGCTTGGTAATTTGAAAAAATTTCAAACTTAGATCTAGCTCTTTGTAGGTTTAGGATTGGGGCTGTTGCTAGCTATGTTATCTAGATTAGATTTAATTGAGGGCTTCAAAGAATATCTTACCCAGGTCAATAAAGATCTAGGTCATAGTATGTAGTTTGTAAAACTATCAAGCTATGTTCTAGCTCTGTTAAGGAGAGTAAGATAGCTTTTAAAGCCACTTTAAATCGAATCAAAAGCTTTAACCAAGTTGTTGGCTTCTTAATACCAACTACCAATCATAGTAAAATTCTCTCTTGTGTCCTCAACTGTGTAATTGTAAATATTGCAATTCTTTGCTCTTCATATTTTTTAATGCTTCTTTTAAAAGACAGCAAGCATGAATAGCTGAACTCATTTCAGTACCGCTAAGCAAACGAAAGAATATGGATTTATTATTTACTGGGATTATGTGCAATCAAAATATTAATTTTTAAATGTTAATTAAATGCCCATATTAAATTACAAAAATTATTTCTTTAAAAATTTGTAAATTTCAGTTACTTCAATTAGCTTTTTTGGTCAGATGAATGTTAGCGTTGAAAATTTTCTCAAAGAATAATTTTTTGTAATTTAATAATCAAGCAGCTCAAATTTAGAAGAAAAAAAACTCAGATTGTACAGAAAAAAAATCTTTAAGTGGCCTTTTCCTCAATGCAATAATACTAGTTTGAAGAAGAAAAAAACAACATAATTTGTAATTCCCTTACTTCTTATTATTTATTTTAATTACTCTATTATGGTCTTTGAACACAATCTGTTTAGATTAACAAAAGATTATGAAATTTACTTCCTCTTTTTCTTCAATAAATGGAAATTCTTTTGTATGAAAACAAAGCTTTTTTAATTTTTTAATAAAAATTTTCAGTTTTTTTTTTTATTTTGAATTTGTTCAATTTAATTGTTAAAGTTTATCAAAAAAAATTCATTAAAAATAAAGTTGTAAATAACTTTTTTTCGTCCATTTTTCATTTCTGTTAAAATTGTTCACTTTATACTGCCAATATCTGTAAAATCTATTGACTAACATAAATCTTTTGTTTTAAATAACTAAGTTAATATTAATTGTAAATCTATTGGAATTTAATGGGTAATGTGTGAATGTGTAATTTGTATAAACAACTCGAATAATTAGGATTGAATATGGATTATTTTTTGATGATTTGTAGCTACTAGTTTGTAACTTTCATTATCAAATTATAAAGCTAGTATTTTGATTTTGTTGAGCATAGGGCCGGTGTCTAGAGCTACTGAGGGTTTTCTAGCCTTCCCCTTTCCTTACCCTACCTTTTTGGTAAGAGTACCTTAGCATGAGCTGGAAAGAGGAGGTAGTATGCCAGGGTACTCGTACCTACTTAAAGGAGGTTAAGGTACCTTGGTTTTTTATGTATTGACTTCTTTGGGCTCATAATAGTAAGGTGTACATCATTTGTAAGGAGATGGCCTTTTTCTTGGAGCCTATCTTCAAATCTTTTCAAAAGAATCGTTTTAAGAGCTTTTGTTAAAGTAATGTAGTGAAAATTCACGAGCTTCCTTCTATGGTAGACCAGCATTACAAACCAACACAAAAATTCAATCCTTATCAATTCAAATTATTTCGAGCAATTTAAAAAAAATTAATATCAAAACTAGAGAGAACAAAGTTAAAGCGCCTGATGTGTGAGACTCATAAGCGCATAAGTAGGAAAGTTATGAAAATGAAACACCTCTTATTATTAGAAACAATATTATATACATCACTAGAAATCCTTTTTTTTTCGTTATGTTATTCTTGAGTGAGAGACTTAATTAATATTATTATTATTAACACACAATATATATATGTATAGCATCTATTAACTATTATCTGTAATTTTTTATAATGCATTATTTTGGAGGAATGTAAAAAACAATGAGAACTTTATGTCTTACAATAATTCCTGTCTGAATGTCCTTGTCTATAAAATAATTTTTCTTTCTTTATATATATATTCATCGATTCAACTTACATGAAAAAAATGAAATTTTATACTCAACATTTGTAAAATATACAAACTAATGATGATGCAAATTGTTTCAAACAACAAAAAATTTTTGAGGAGAATTGTAAATTTTATGGTTGCAAAAACAGACAGAACTTTTTTAAAGTGAAATAAAATAAAACCCAAAAATTTCAAATTGTTTTATTTTTTGTTGAATTTTTATAATTTTTACAGGAAGCAGCAATTGTCACCGTTCCTAAGTTTCATAAATTTGATTAAAATCAGCCTTGAAAATTTTGAAATTCACCCTCGTTGAAGGCTACGTCTACATGTACTTGAAAATAATTGTGGCAATTGAGATTAGAATCAAAGTCAAGGAAACATTGCTGAAAGAACTGGAAGATCAATCTACGCTAAAATCACAGATAAATTCTTATTAGGTTCAAACTTCCCTTCTCAAATCAACTCATGGATTACAACCCCCAAAAATAACAAATCATAAAAATAAAATTATTCAAAAATCAACAATCAAATAATTAATATAAATCACCATATCTCCTGGCAAATACCAATTCATTAAAAATCTCTCTCTGTGCATTCTAATAAATTTTACAATTTTTCATGATCGTATAAAGACACACAAAAAACAATACAAATAAAAATATGTAAAAAAAATTTGCCGTTGTCCTATATCAAAATTATCCCGTCGAGGAATGTTGATTATTGAAATGTGGATAAGGAGACATCGCCGGATGGTACAAAAACTCAAAAATCCATTCGACTTCCTACCATTTGAACATTTATGTGTGTGTTTATATCTGTGTACTGTGCCATAATGCACGAGCAGAGGCCCTCACAAATAGAAAATGAGTAAGAAAGTTGTTGTGAATTGTTTGTGAGATCAGAGCGCATTTTTAAGTTAAAAAAGCCAATCGCAAGCTTTGAGATGTTTTTAAGATTTTTGTCAACTTTATGTTAATCCTGACTTTTAAATTCATTGTGTAACCAGTAACTCGAAACTTAACTTTTCACTGCAGAACTCTATGGGATGATTGGATGCTCTACAAGCCTAATCGGCACAACATGATCACTACAGTATCGCTATATGGCGTTTTAAGAGGTCTAATAGACTTGGAGATGTCCTCAATCTATATAAAAGCTTTATCAAAGGGGTCGTTTGGATTTCCAGGAATTTCTATTGTTCTTTTCTTGCTGCCCCCCCCCCCCCCTCCTGGACGTCATAAATGAACGGCTCCAAAGCTAATTTGATGATAATACTGCAATATCCCACTAAAGTCATTAGTTTATCTAGCCAACAGAACAAAATGCTTCATAAATCATCCATTTTTCTCAAAAACGCGTCTAAAAAGGAATTGAAATATTCCATTTACGATAAAAAATATAAAGAAAAGTTTTCGATTTCATTCACATTTCGAGTACGGTTCAGTGAGGTTTTAAATTTCCGAAGAAGAATCTCTTTTAAGTTCTCCGTTCATCAAAAAAAATTTATTTGTGTATTTAACAGTAAATTATTAATAATTGTCTCATGAAATGACTTACTGGTATCCGCCGTCATACTACAATCATTTCATTGAGCATCCAATATTGTGGAGTAACGAAAAGCGTCGCTGGGAAGAACGAAAGTTGGCTCGTGAATGTTTTCAAGTGTGGCAAACGCAAAAGCAAATAGAGCATAGTGAAAAACTTAAGAATCAAGCGGAGGTGTGAAGAAGAAGTTGAAAAAAAAAGTGAACAGAAAGAAGCAGAAGAAAATTTTTCATTTATTAAAGAAATTTCCCGCCAAATTTTATTTTTGAGTTCCATTCACCACATTTTCATCACAGACAATTAAAATATAAAATCATCTATAGCTGATAGATATTCATCATCATTTTCATCGTCAAGATAGAAACAAATTTTATTCTTGCATGTTGGTATGTTGTCCTTACATCCTTACTCTCTGTCTCTTTTGTTACAATTTTTCTTTTTTTGAATCAGTTTTGATTTATTTTTGAATTAATTTTGGGATTCGTGGATTTATAGAACCTCCCTTATCATATAACTTAGGATTAACTTTAAAAAATTAAGTGAGTAGCCGATTAATGATTGGCAATGTTGATTGATCAACGATGTTCTTTAGACTATGAAAGGCTGCTCTCTAAAACATACTGACAAAGTATCCAAAACCATAAGTATTTGCAGAGTTTCCTGCATTCCTCTCCATTCTTCCCCTAAAAACCAAACAAAAAAGTTATTAAAAATAAATTCAAACTTTTTCAAACTTCTAATAACTTTATTGATGCAAATAACAAAACAAAATTCCAGAAATTTCAAGTCAATTTGTCGATTTACAATAAAAACAAAACTTTGTGTAACTTTATTTCTATCCAGCAGACATTTCAGTCTGTGCGTGCAAACTTCCAACAACATTTTAATTTATTAATATCAAGCAATAAGAAATTCTAGTTGCGTGAACTTCAGTCAATGCTACCAGATTTAGTTCTGTTTTACTATAATCATAATCTACTTCTTTTTATCATTATTTCATGCTCATCAGTTCCATTTATGATTTATTTTTAACTTTACTGTGGAATGTCATTCTGCTTCGTTACCTACTTTTGGTTCTGTTTCTGCTTATTATTTGTACGATTTTTTTATATGTTGAGCTGCTTTAATCGATAAATTTTCATACATAAATCATGGTTCTATGGCATTAGATAGGCGAAAATTCTGATTCTTTATTTTGAAAATTTTTCATTGATTTTTATTGTTTTGTACATTGGCTGTCACCACTCGTAACATTCTTTCATAGTTTGTTGGAGTTATGTAAGATCAATTAGTAAATTTCATTCATATTTAAATACAATGGTTAATAAGTAAAGCAATTAATGGGGAAATTATAATCTAGTGCCTTTAAAGAACACACCAAAATAGAAAGAAGTCCTGTTTTATGTTTGTGCGTTCCTCCGAATGTCACTAAACTCATAATGTGTTTCGATGGTGAAGTAGACTCTCTAAACCAGTGTTGTCCAAACTTTTTGTGCCACGGAATACCTTAGTGGTAATCCAAGACTGAAACCGCACACAGCATGCGGTTTGCAATATTTACTGGATTTTTCTACGGAACACAGTTTGGTACAGAATCCTACTGTAAACCTTTTACCTCTTTACATTACCTCAGTAACCAAAAAGTAAATTTAAAACTTAGTCTCAAGCAATCTATTGCAAGGCTGAACTCAAATATTCTATCCTCACCCAATTTCAACTGTCTAGTTATTGAAGGACAAGAAGCTTTAAAAGATGAACTAGTTTGTTTAGACATTTATGAATATATATGTATGATATATGATTTGTGTGACAATGATGTGGATATGCCTCGAACAGCATATCTAGAGTAGATAGACTTGAGCATAGGGCTCACTGTGAAATTGGTTGTTTGTGTATGAAGGATAGCCAAAATGAGATAAGTACTTCGATGATCGAGTAGCAGGGATCTCTGATCGAGTATTCAGAGATTGCCTTTTTTGAAGTCGTAAGTTCGATTCCCATTGAACCCGGCTTATTTTACATATTGTAAACACTTAGAGCAGTTATAGGGAGATCTGCATTGAAGGATAGTAGAACTTTAGTGAGTTTGGGACTTCCATATCTGTTCAATCTAAGACCTATAGTTAAGAGTAGATTAAAATGAATTATTTGATGACGTTTCTTACTTAAAATTAAAGGCCTTTTGCCTCAATTCAATTAATTGGGATTTTAAAATACTAGTTCCTTAATTTCAAAGCTCAAAGATGGCGTAAATTAAGGCGACTAAGGTTCATGATTCGTTAGAAAAGCGACGCTGGATTGGAAATAAGGACCACTATAATCAGGTCTATACTACTTTGTATAGTCATTTATTCAAAATCCTTTCATTTAATTCATTCTAATAAATTTCTCATATGCCTAAGTTCAATCGTTCACATTAAATCAAAATAAATTTTCAAAACAATTTTACAAACAATAATTTGCACTGGCTGCTCCCAGACATGCTTCTTATAACTTTGCATTTATTTTTTATAATTTTCAAAAACTTCTTCTAAAAATATCAAAAGTCTCAAGTCATAGCATAGCAAAAGAAAAACTTTTATGAGCCAACAATTCTCATGACGTAGCATGAACAGTGCATCAAAAAGAAACTTAATTCCAACTATTTTTAGAATCGCATTCCTAGAAAAAGATTTTCTATTTATAAACTATAAACTAGTTTTGAGTTGAACTTCAGAAAGCAAAATATAGGAAATTTGAAAAATTAAAGACACGACAGTCATGACAATTGCATCGAGAAATGTGAACAGTGGTAGCATATTTCAGAAATTGAAGGTGATTTCCAAACAGCAACGATTGATTTTATTTTGAAAAAATCATCAAATTTTTTTATATGATTTCTCATGCTTTTTTAGCTCAAAAACTATCATAATGTAAATAATATGTTTCATATGCTCCCCATAAGTGCTTGTTGCATAACATTAAGGCAAATTATTATGTCATTTATACATATGAAAAATTACAATTTCAAATTCCATCAAAAAGTCATAAAAGGAAGCCTTGAAAGATGATAGGGGTGCAAAAAGTTGATTAAATGAAGGAAACTCAAGGATTTATCCACGAGAATCACGCAACATAAATTATAAACACATAATAACCTTAACTTCATTGCCCTTCAACATCGTATACCCTCAACATGTGCATATGTGCCGCAATAACATTTATTTATTACTCATTTATAGTCATATCAACATTATCAGGTTTTAAACATTTACAAGGTCACTATGGATGTGGGGTGCATAAGGCGCATTTTAGAAGGGATACGGGCTAAGTTTTTGGTTGTCTTATAGTTTATAAAGAAAACTCAAACGTTTTATTTTAAACTTTTTCAATAGCTTCGAGCTTTTTGACTAGCTTTTAGCTTTTTGAAAAGCTTTGAGCTTTTTCAATAGCATCGAGCTTTTTTAAATAGCTCTGAGCTTTTTGAAAAGCTATAAGCTTTCTAAAAAGGTCTGAGCATTTTTGACTAGCTTTTACCTTTTTGAAAAGCTTGAAGCTTTTTGAATATTTTTGAGCTTTTTGAATAGCTTCGAGCTTTCTGACTAGCTTTAAGCTTTTTAAATGATTTTGAGCTTTTTTGAATTGTTTTGATGTTTTTGACTAGCTCTAAGTTTTTTTGAATAGCTCTGAGCTTTTTGAACAGCTTTTAACTATTTTGATTACTTTAAGATTTTTGAATAACTTTAAGCATTTTGACCAGTTTTGAGCTTTTCAAAAATCTTTAAGTTTTTTTTTTAAACTATAGCCACTTCCCATAGTGACTTAGAAACCCTACTCAGCTCCCCTATTTGTCTACTATAAAATCAATTCTATCAAAAAAAAAGTGCATCACTTTCATTATCGAAAATTTACTTTTTTTACCCTCCCATTTCCATTAAAACAACTATGCTTTTTTTACGATCCAAAAACACGAAAAACAAATGTACAGAAATGCATTCATGCCTATCACACATTGATTTTTTTTTTACTTTTTTTTATTTTTTTAACACACAAAAAAAACATTCAAAGAACGAAAAAACATTCACAACTTAATTAACTTTCTTGTGGTCTAGATGTGTAGCTATAAAAGTTCTAATTGGAAATTTTCTTCTGTTTTATACTTTATTTTTGTGATTGACGCATCCAATGTGTGGCACGGCAAATGAAAAAAATTCAGTATCGTGAAATGGTTGCAAATTGGAGTCCGTGGGGAAAACCAGGAAATGGAGCACCTAAGGATGATATTCGCATTCGAAATCTACATATGGACGGACTTTATCCCGTCGCTAGAAATGTACATACATGAAATTGTGAATTTTTCTATTATTTTATTGATATTGTGACTTGTTTTACGGATGGATTATTGTGGTTCTTTTGAGAAACTTGATGATGTTTTAATTAAAGGTATCGTAATTACGTGCAGTCTGGTGATGAGTTACAAGCACCATGACTGGAGTCGATAAGAACATAATTTTGATTAAGCTTCTAAAAGACTCTTTCTCATACGTGAGGTCGGTAATTCTTACAAAACAGATCAAACTCTGACTATAGTCAGTTAATTATTTTAAAAATGCATGGTCATAGTGGAATCCGATCCATATGTAAGCAAATCTGCCAGTGCGAGAGTTAAGCTTCTGTAGTCAAGTGATTAGGCTACAGATCGTCTTATATGAGGACGTGGGTTCGATTCTTATCAGAAACCGATCCCCTTAATCCATTACATAGAGTGTTTAAGTATTCATAACCTTAGTAAAACAAGTCACTCAGTTTCTTATTATCAAGACTAAGGATTTCACTATAAACCTGATAGTGACAGTATTGAAGACCCTAGTCAGAATAAATGTTCAATTTTAAAAAAGGATGAAATATTTTGTGATTATGAACAACCTGTTGCATATTTATTGAATATTCCGGCAAAATAGGAAGTAATTGTTTCGTTCTTATGCAACATAAAGCTATTACATAAGTTCTATAATTTCAAAGACATTTCTTATAAAATGCAATAACTGTCAAACAGCCAAAGAGTTTATTTATCACAAAATATTCCATCCCTTCCTTGATTTAATTCACCAACTAATAAAAATTTATTTTCTACTTTCAAACTTCCCAATCAATTTCAATAAACTTCAATAATTCCCCCCAAATCAAAATTTCCTTTAATTCCAGTCACCTCGAAATTCCTTCACATTGCCAAGAACGAATGCTTCGCAGAAGGCAAAATACTATACGCCGGGTATGTCAAACGCGATATCAGGTGGAAGTGGAGCTCCCATCGTTTCAGAGTCGGGAAAACTTTTGGTTCCATTGCACGAAGATCCCAACATAACATTTAAAGATTCAACGCGTAATTACGTGGATAAGGATTTAAGATATCGTAAAACAACATCGGAGAAGACAGCATATAGGCAGGAATTGGATAAAATTGTTGAGGAGAAGCAAAGGCTGAAGTTTAATGAGAAATTTGGAATTTCGCCAAATCGTAATGTAAGTGGAATGTGAATGATATTCAGGCATGCATAAATATTTTTATTTTCAATTTTCTATGTTTTTCCAGCAAAACAGTCTTGATCCGTTTTCGGACAACTGGGGGAAGCCTGGGCCGGGTAATTTTGAAACTGTTACAAGTGCATTTTCTGTCAAGGGTGTGATGAACTAGATTTGTCATTTAATTGAAAACTGTTTGATAGTTGTGAATGATTTTTTTTTTTCTGAGGAAAAAATTTTAAATTTGGAGTTTTTTGAGTTTTTTAAAAAAAAAGCTGATTTAAAGTTTTAACGGTTTTTAAAATTCAAATTTCCTGATTAAAATGTTCAGAACGTTGAATTTAAATTTTTCAAGATCGTTAAAATTTAAAATTTTCAACAACGTTAAAATTTATTTTTTTTGAGCAAATTAAATTCTAATTTTATTCATGGAAAATGCACTTGAAGAATCCAGTCAAACTTGATTTCGATCGATAAAACTCGACCTTCATTAAATTTACAATTGAACTCATTTTAAGGTGGAACACCATGGAGGGATCCAAAGAATGTTGGTCAAAATTTCATGAAATCTATGGGATGGACAACAAAAGACACGCTCAAGTCTATCAACAATGAAATGAACTTCCCAAAACAGCAGCAGCAGTCAATACAACAGCCCTATTCAAAATGTAAACCACAAGCCGGAGGTCAAACGTCATGCTGCGATCGATGCTCATGTGAATGTGTAAGAAAAATCGAAAGTACAATATTGAGAAGTCCAGGAATAGCAAAAGAGAATGATGAACCAGTCAGAAAATCACCAAAAAAGGCACCACATTATGCACTTCCACAGCAATGTAATAGACAGGAGCGTTTAGAGCCATTACAACAAATTTCACAACAGTCTTCCAAAAATGCAAAGCCACAGCCTGTAAAAAAGCTATCAAAGACAAATCTTATTAGTGGCGGTGTTGAATTAGTTCCACTACTTGCCAAGAGACGTGAAGATCGTCCAATATCGTTGTCTACTACGGACATAACAAAGTACAAAATCAATAAAAGTAGGTAAATAATTGCAAATAAAATGGAATTGACTGCATGGAAAGTTGTGATGACTTGCATTGGAATTACTTAATATTTTTGTAATGATTTTAGCGGGCAGGATGGAAATCCAGAATACTTAAGTGACTTGGAACGTCAGATAATTAATAGGAATCGATTACGTCAGGTAAAAAAGTTCTGGGATTAGTTGTGAAGCTTCTTATTGCTCTCACGCCAGTTTCAAAACTACTGGTTGACAATAGGGTTCAATTTGACCAAGTGTGGACTTGGTATGGCTCTGTTATTTACTTAATTCATTCATACAGCTATCATTGATCCTTCCCTGCTGTATGACATTGAAACCAGATGGATGAATAAAGCTAGCTCGAGGGACACACTAATGTCGTTAAGTTACTGTTTTGTCGCTTTATCAAGCCTCTTTTGCATCCAAAAATTCTGATTTGCTTTACTATGCCACTCGGTCAATTAAAAAGCAGCACCAAGTCAGCATCTCGTCATTCTGAACCTTATTATTTCTCAAAATCGTTTTAAAACTAATCCTGAACCTAAAACTCTCCATTCCAGCTCTCAAAAGAACGTGACATTGAAAGCTGTCGAGAACATTTTGCCAATTTTGATCGGTTTTGGGGACGTCCAGGATGCGGAGCACCACAACAGAACAAGAACAAAATGAATTTGGACAATTTGCTTTACAATGCGCCAATGTTCGAGATCTATCAACACGAATATTAAAGCAAGTTTCGTCCATAAAATAAAACAAAGAGTTGCCGTTATGAATGAAGTTAATTTTGCATGCTTTTGCCATTGAAAAAAGTATAGTTGCAAAGTTTTTTATGTCATAAACTTGCGGGATTGGAAGTAAAAAAAAAATATTTATTTTTGACACTTGTGGAATTTCAAGTCTCAATGCGATAAAGCGAGAAAGGATGTAAATAAGTTTTAAAAATATCTTGTATATAAGAAGGAGAAGCGATTAATTATGATTAGTGCAGCCCACACAAAAATTTCAGCGGTAGCAAGATTAAAAATTTCTCGGAGGCGATTACCCATCTTTGGAGATAATAATCTTTTTTTGACACATACTGATGATGTCCAGTCAATTGATATGTTTATCATTACAATAAGGAATAAACTTTCACTTTAGCTTGGCCACTCCTTTCGATGAAAGAAGGTGGACTGGATTTTGTTGGAGAAAACATTTTGATTGATCCATGACAAGCTATTGTATTTTTATGGACTTGACCTGGTTAGGTCAAATGCTGTTTATGGTACAATATGCTTGTTTGGGACCTTTTCATCATGTTGATGAGTTCATTCAGTTTTATTCAAATACTGAGCTATCTTTTATGAAACTGGGAGGTTACTTGATTCTTAAAAAAGTTAAGCATTAATAAATGAAGTGCTTTGCAAGATCAAGTCATTAAACGCACATTAAAGGGCTTGTAATTATGATTTTGATCTTAATCTGATAAATCTTAAGCTTTTTGTAGATTATTCATCTGGTTGTTAAGCTATTAAAGTTTTTAAGTAAAAATGTCATGATATTAAAAGCAATCTGGATATTAAATGACCTAAATTATTTACTTCCATTCATTCTTAACGATAATTGTCTTTTGCTTCCTCGAAAATCTAGTTCCCAGCTATAAATGCGCCTTAAAGTAAAAATTTTCTTACTTTCCTAATTTGCACAAACTCTTCTTTAGCTTGCAAAGCAAAGTAATAAAAAAAGGTTACATGCTGATCATTATTTCGATATGTGAGTAATAACTTTTTCAAGTTTTTTGTTTTGTTTTCTTTATTATGACAAAAATATTCACATGAACCTTTCAACTACCATTTTTACACATCTGAAGTGGCATCATTCGCTAGTGGTGTTCCAAGATGATTAAAATTCAGCTTTTAGGAAGGTTTTTGATTAAGATCTCATCATTGAAACTTGATCAATAATTGAAACGCAGATCTTAAGGCAGTTTGTGTTTATTGGGTCAAATTTAGAACTTATGCAACCTTAGTAAGTTTTATAACTTCTTCCCGCAATGGCACAAGTCGGTTAATCGATCAAAAATTTGGAACCAATCCGGTGTGACTCTGAAGCAAGCACTACGCCAGAGTCATGCTATCTTGGCGCCAAATTTCTATTCGATTAACTGACTTGTGCTATGTATTCGGGTTCATTACTACTCTACCTAAGATGGGTAATCCCTCTTCCGATTAACATCATTTGTAGTCGACCCTTTGAACTATGGCAGCCTTTTAATTTGTGTGAATCGCTTAACGACAATTTACAACGCAAAAAAAACAAATCTGCAAGTTGAATCACTTAATTGATCGCTTCTCCATGTTTTAATGAATTAATGCCTTAATCTTAAGATGACCGCTTATGTAAAAAAATGTTTATTGTAAAAAAAGAGTCATAAAGAAGAGAAAAGGCGCGCAGATGAAGTTTTCATTCATAATTGAGGATTTCTTTTTAATTCGCATTTTATTTAAATTTCCCAAATTCGGCATTTTTGATTTAATTTTAATCAGTTGATAAATCCTTTGTCGATTTACTTTAAAAATTTGGTTTTAATCCTTTGATCAATTAGAGAAGAAAAAAACAAAAGAAGACGCTACAAAATGTGATAAGCTTAATTAATTTATTTCTAATTTGATCGTTTAAGATGCTTTATTATTATTTAATTAAATGAAAGAAGACAAAAACTCATTGTTGGTAGACATGCAGGCATTATAGAAAATATGTTAAGTTTATGTTATTTTAAAATTCGTTTTGTTGTGGAATTTAATGGCTTGTATTTGAGAATAAAAAATTTTAATTATTAATAAAAGAGCTAAAATGTAATCTTTAAGTCGATAAGGTTTTTGAATTGTTAATTAAATTGTCTGTTTTGTTGAATTTGGATTTTATGCAAAATTCACTGATGGAGCAGTGGGAATGGAATTAAACTCTTTAAATTTTGATGCAAATACTTCGATTTGCAAGTTTGAATCTTAGAAATTAAGTCTAAATTGGTCTAAAGCAGTGTTGTTCAAACTGTGTCGTTTGGTAATGACGCAAGCCGCATGCTCTGTGCGACTTTGGTCATGACTTACCCCCAAAGTGTGCCGTGATTCAAAAACTTAGAACAACACTGGTCTAAAGCAGTGATGGTTAACCCGTGTGCCATGAAAAAACTTTAGAAATCCAACGAATCATATGTTGTGTGCGGTTTCGGTCGTAGCTTATCACCAAGGGTGCCGTATCACAAAAAAAGTTGGACACAACTGGTCTAAAGTGATTGGCAACCCATGTGCCGCGGACCACTAGTGTATCGAATTAAAATTCGGGAAATCCTATGAACTGTACGGTTTCAGTGAAGGTCGAGCATCAAGTTTAACGGCTCAAAAAAGGTTGACGACCTATTGATTCTAGATTGATATCATAATTATGCTAGCATTACTAGGAAGTGACCAAGATTGAGGTACTACAGGATAAAATACAGACAAAATCTGAAATCATTCATCGATCGTTCCTACAAAAATGAGATTTGTCACCAATTAAGCATCAATTTATAAAATCATGCTGCTTAATTTTGATCAATTCTTTTTTATCACCATTTCTAAATCCTATCAAATCCCCAATAACACAATCGGAACATGCAAAAGAAACAAAATTTCACACACTTCCTTCTTCGGTAAAAAATCAAAAAAAAACCGTTTTAATGGAACTATCCGGTATCGAAAATTATCGGGTGTTATTTTCTTTAACAAGCTTCTATCAAAAATTTTAACAACATATCATTATCTGCTTGCTAATACACGACACGTATCATCTTCAATCGGTGGTAATAATAAAAGTTTCGCTATCGACAAAAATGTCGATTTTTAAAGCCCTCAAAAATTAAATAAGTTTCAAGTCGTAAAGTAATTAATTTTTGTGGGCTTAAGCAATAAAGTTAAATATTTATTAAATTTAAACTTACCCATCTGTGGCTGTAAAACTATTTTAACGCTTACACATTCAATAAACTTTATGCTCATTGTTCCTTCTTGCTGTTTTCGTGTTGTATTCATTAAGTTTTATATCCATTAATGTGTTATTTATTTAATTATCTGTTTATGTTTTTGTTGATGGATTGATGATGCTTATTTGGCACAGTTAAATTGTCAAATAATGCACATTGATCTTAGTTGGGTACACTTAATTGAAAACTAGATAAATGTTGTGGTTTGTATTATTAAAGATTGTCTAAACCCCCTTGAGTGAGCTAAAGTGGCTCGATGGTTAAGTACTTTGGTACCTAATTATTGCAAAACCGACACAGCGATCATGGGTTCGAGACTGGGTAGTGGAAAAATTTTCAGTTGTTCTTTTTCGAATCATATAAACTGAAAATGAAGAGCGCAGTCTTGCTTTGCAGTCTAGGCTTGCCATGGCTAGGTCCCTAACCAAAGAATCTCGCAAAAATCCTTTAAATCTGAAATCCTATCGACCAATTACAGCTCTTGATCATTTAAAACCACACCAAGCATGCCCTTTAACATCCTCATCATAACATTCCACAACTATAATATAAATACGAGGAAGTAGCCACTTCAATGAGCAATAATAAAAAGGAAATCTACAGAAATATCCTCAATAAATCACAAGCCTACCTTTATGCATAAAAATTTTCTTACATAAACCTTTTTTTATGTCACTTGTTACTCATCAAAACTTTCTTGAATAAAATGACATTTAAGGCTGTAAATAAATAAATGAATGAAGCTGCATTTTACAACCTTTTTGCATCTTTGTTGATATGGCCGAGACTGTAGTTAATCGATTTGTCATCGTTAAGTGTGTTATAAAGATTTTCACATTCCATTGAAAGTGAGATTGTTGATGGAATCGAGACATGAAATGGTTAATTAAGGAAAATAGGTTTTATTGATATTTATGATAATCAACAAGTGTGTGATGGATTGGGTCTGAGCTTGTCGTACAAATAAATTATTTAAGGTTACTTGTTGGATCTTTCTTAGGGGCCGTTCACTTATGACGTCCGGGAAGGGGGGAGGAGGGGGTCAGCAAGAAGAAAACAAAAGAAATTCCTGGAAATCCATTGTTCTTTTTTAAAAACTGACCGTTAATTTCAGACGTCATAAGTGAACGACCCCTTACTACTTTACTGATTTTTTGAATTGTTTTGAATATCAAATTCAGATCTTCGAGATGTTAAACCCGTCTATAAAGTTGGACAGCCCCGCTTACCTAATAATCCTTAAATTTCGCATCAAAACAAAACTTTTCATCCTCAATTTCAGTCCTCATTAATCGTTCAATTTGCGAATGAAAAGGAAAGTGAGCAACAAAGAGGTCGGAGTCATGTCAGAGCCTCATAAAGTGAGAAGATATATTAAAAGTAATAAAAAAGTCCATAAAACGGTCAAAATAATAATAAAAATTCATTGTAAAGTAAAATTAAATAATCCCGTTATGGAATTGAAATAAAAATTAACTGTGGATGTTGTTTGCATTGCCAAAAAATTGTTTTGAATGACTTCTCATTGAATGAAAATGTAGCTTTTTTGGAAAATAAATGGATATTCTTCAGAAAATCATAAGAGACAATTGTTTATTTTCTAATGCAATTATTCCTGTATTTTAAGTACCAGCTCCTTTTGTTCTAGACATGTGTGAGGACATTGTCTTGATTCTCACCAAAAGCCGATAGCAGAATTCACAAAATGCTCTCAACAAATTGGAAGCA